CATTAGCTTTACCAGAAAAAATCGTTACAATAACCGTTATATTTCTGTAAATTTACCGCCATGAATTTGTGTACGATTACCACACGAGTGTTCCTTTTGGTACTTTTTACCAAAAACACATATTTGTGCGTAAATGTAACGCGAGATTCGCGGTAAAGTTACACTGAAAGCGGTTCTCCTACACAATAGTGAAACACTCCAAAGCTAGCGAAACACACATATAAGTGTTCTTTTACCAAGAAAACAGAGTAATTTTACACCAAAAAAATGTTCCTTTTGGTACTTTCAATTACACCGTTTTTCCGCTCAATATTTCTGTGTGTGTGGCAGGGGGGGGGCGATGCGACATCCCCCCCCTCGCGATTGGCTCCTATGGCACCTAGAAACACCAAATTTGGTAGGTAGGTGAACCCCCTGGAGTTCTCGCCCCTGTGCAAATTTGGTTGCCCTAGGTCAATATTTAGGGGGGTTTTGGGGGGTATAAATGTAAAAATTTCGCTAAAAACAGGTCAAAAGTTTTTCGCTGATAACTTTTGATCTAATTAAGATAGAGCAAAAAGAAAAGCACCAGTGAACTCAGCACGTCAAGGCAATTCGAATGATATACTTTTTAGCTTGCTTAAGTGTACTTAAAGTTTTTCTTAAATTTTAAGTAAACTTTAATTAATTAATTAAGTTCAAGTTAACCAAATTGCATCATATCGCATATCATTCGATTCGGCTGATCTTCAGGAACACAATGATACCATTTTTCAAGCTCTAGCGTCATTATGTGCCAAGTTATTGGCAAAAACGTCATTTGACCTCAGTTGACCTCATTTGACCTGACCCATGGATAAGCACACCAAAAAAGAAGCACCAAGTGACCTGATGTTATGTACTGTGGTTTCAAAGCACGAAAGTGATAGAACGAAGCGGATATCTCCAGTATTTTCCGAATTTAGTATTTTCCCATAGGCTTAACATTACGACGTAATGACCTCTAACTGACCTCAGGTCAGTGACCTCAAAAAACCCGAACTATATGTTATACAACTCGGTGAACTCAGCACATCCTGAAAGTTTGAAGGAAATCAGTCCAAAAGTGTGAGTTGGACAGGTGCAAAAAGAAAATTGAAATTTGACCATGACCTTGTACCGGTTTTTCTGACCTGGTGACCTGACCCAAGGTCACCCGGACCTGAAATTTTCAGGTCATATGTAAAAAAGGTTGCCCCATAGGCTGTGCCAAATTTGGCGGCGCTGCGCGCCGCCGTTTTTACGCTATCTTCGAAAAACCTTAGGGGGGTCGCATCGACTCCCCCTGCCAGGGCGAGGGTTAAATTTTGGTGGGGTGCGCTCGCCGGTTTGCACGTGGCGGGCGCATCTTTGCGGGATTTTGGGCCGCGACCGGCGCCGATCAGACGGCACGCGCCTTAGGCTCAGTTTCTTCGCTTGCAAAACTGAGCGAAACCAGAGCCGGCAGGTCACTGACCTTTGGCAATGAACACCGGAACAGGGCACCACGCACCGGCCAGGAGGAGACGTCAAATCTATTCTGGCAATAACTCGGCCGCTACTGGGCCGATTTGAATGAAAATCGATTCATTACGCTGCGCGTAATGCTGTCCCTCTAGTTATGTAATAAAACATGTGTAAGGAAAAATATGAGATTCTCTGACATTATAGAGGATATAAAGATTTTAAAATGATATTATTATCAATAGTAATAACATCTATTCTAGTAATATATGACGTGGGCTATCATATGATTGAGTGAGAATATTAAGTAGAAATAATATATAGGTATACTAGTTTGCTGTGGTTCTAATATTCCGAATGATGTTCCTACAATAGCAAACACGATGGAAATGTAATAGACCGATTTTTGTTACAAATGAAGGAGCACTACAACCAATAGAAACTTAACCCTCGCCGGCCGAGGGGGGGGGCGGGTGCCGCCCCCCCCCCCCATAGGGTTTTTTTCGCGATAGCGCCGAACACGCTGGCGATAGACAGCTGAAACTTGGCATACCTGACCTTTGATCCAAGCCGCATCTTTTGACACCAACCGCATTTTTGGGTCAGGTCAGGTCACTGACCTATGACGTCATAAGTGAACCTCTGCACGGTCTTCAGATGTCGCAACTTCGCAACGCCCTCACTGCCAGAGGAGATGTCACAGGGAAATGAAACTTGCAGGATCTAGTATCCATTATGAGTCTCACAACTTGTATATCTCGGATTTTTCCTAAAGGTCATATGAGGTCAGGTCATTTTCGTGACCTCACCATTATAAGTCAATGGGGAAAAATTCAAACTGCTATTCTGGCGCCGGGAACGATCTCCAACTATCTCAAGCACACAGAATCGTGATTTGCTGCACTCCTTGCAAGGTTAGATGCGTCACTTTTGCAATGTTGACCTTGCGTGACGTCATTTATGACGTCATCAAGGTCATATTGGTTTTTCGTCAATAACTCTTGATCAAATTGAGCTAGCGAGTCGGGAAAGCCACCAATGGACTCAGGAAGACCTGCCGAAGCGAATGATATGCGACATGACCCCTTTCGACCAACTTCGTGACCTTAGGGTGCTGACCTGACCTTGACCTGAGGTCAATACCCCAAGTTGACCTGACCTGAACAAAAAGTATATCATTCGACGCGCCCGAGCGAGGCGAACACGATGCTGCCAAAATCGCGGCTCTGCGGCCGTTTTTTGCGAAGTTATTCACCAAAAACTGAACCGTACCTTGGGGCACTTGACCTGACCTCAGAGGTCACCAGTTGACCTAGGACCTTAAAATCGGGTACCAATCTCTGCGTCTCGTAACGGCGCACACACTCGTTTTTTCCGCGACGCGCTAGCTCCACCAGGGGCGAAACGGCGAGGGGGGGTCGTACCCGCCCCCCCCCCCTCGGCCGGCGCGTATGTAGAAAACCAATAGGTCCGGCGAGGGTTAATTTATCACGAAGCAAAAAGTAATATGAACAGCTTGTATAAGTAATTCGTAAAAGTGTAGTTCATTGCACGGAAAAAGCAGGACGTACTTGATCGATCACCATAATACCCCTGTTCAAAAACCAACGACCGTTCAGCAGCCAAACCCCGGTTGCTAATGACACACCTTCATCTAAAACTTTTACCAAAATACACGGATATAAAAGATCAATATGCTGTTAAACCTCGCTCTGGCAGGGTATTTTTCATGACACGGCCTGGCAGGGGGGGGGCTGATGCGACCCCCTCGTGATTGGCTCCTATGGCACCTAGAAACACGAAATTTGGTAGCTAGGTGGGCCCCCTGCAGTTCTCACCCCTGTGCAAGTTTGGTTGCTCTAGGTCAATATTTAGGGGGGTTAAGGAAGGGGGTATAAATGGAAAAACTTTGCTAAAAACAGGTCAAACGTTTTTCGGTTATAATTTTTTATCTAATTAAGATAGAAAAAAGCACCAGTGAACTCAGCATGTCAAGGCGCATCGAATGATATACTTTTTTGCTTGCTTAAGTGTACTTAAAGTTGTTTTCTTAATTTCTAAGTAAACTTTAATTAATTAATTAAGTTTAAGTTAACCAAATTGCATCATATCGCATATCATTCGATTCGGCTAATCACCAGAAACACCATGACACCATTTTTAAGCTCTAGAGTCATTATGTGTCAAGTTATTGGTAAAACGTCATTTGACCTCAGTTGAGCTCATTTGACCTGACCCATGGATAAGTACACCAAACAAAGAAGCACCAAGTGACCTGCTCTTAAGTACTGTGGTTTCAAAGCAAAAAAGTGATAGAACGAAGCGGATATCTCCAGTATTTTCCGAATTTATTATTTTCCCATAGGCTTAACATTACGACGTAATGACCCCTAACTGACCTCAGGTCAGTGACATCGAAAAACTCAAAATATATGTTATACAACTCGGTGAACTTAGCACATCCTGAAAGTTTGAAGGAAATCAGTCAAAGACTGTGAGTTGCACAGTTGCAAAAAGAAAATTGAAATTTGACCATGACCTTGTACCGGTTTTTCTGACCTGGTGACCTGACCCAAAGTCACCCGGACCTGAAATTTTCAGGACATACGTCGAAAAGTTGCCCCATAGGCTGTGCCAAATTTGACGGCGCATCGCGCCGCCGTTTTTACGCTATCTTTGAAAAACCTTAGGGGGGGTTGCATCAACCCCCCTGCCAGGGCGAGGGTTAAGCTTCTAAGCGCTTCAATGTATGCTATTATGGACTTGCATGTCACAAAACTGACTTTTAGGGTTGTAATTAATTTATATAGAACAACAACAGATTTATGGCTACGTGAGCAAAGGCTTCGTTACAACCTCTCACCAAAAATCCCACACTTACCCAAAATAGTTGGTCCAAAGGCGCTCCCTTGAACGGGCACTATTCAGTATCTGATATCTTGATCTCTATTGATCTTTTGCTCTTGATACTCCATTAACCTCTGCATGTTTCATCTTTATCAACTTAACAACCTCAACACCGGATGATCTATAAATCCTCAATCTCCATTTATCTCTCTATCTTGAATCCCTGACAGTGTTTCGGCAGAGCGCGTCTAAGCACATCCGTCCGCGCCGGACCCCGCCACCCCACTGGCAGCCAACACCAAACCTACCAGTCATACCGACTATTCTGTCAGCAAAATAACGAGTGAATTGATAGTGACAGGCAGCTTCAACCTAATCTCCGAACCCGGTTTCAGCGCTGTGTCAGGGTGGGGGGGGGGACGATGACAGAAGAGGAGGAGGGGGGCTCGGGTTGTTCAAAATGTGAAAGCTATCGTGCTGACACCGGGAGGCAGTTCTGATTGGGTGTCGTGGTTTTCAGCAGGCGCCGTCGCAGGCACCAGACCCGGTTTGCCGTTTCCCAGCCCGACGTATCGGCTCCAAACTGGTCTCGGATGAGTATATAAGCGGGCGGTAAGGTGTGTAGGTCACACTCAGCCCCGGCAGCTCCGGTAGGAAACCGTCTTCACTCCACGGCTGCTTGGTGCCCTGCGATGAAGACCTTCACTGCGCTCGTGGTGGCCCTGGCGGCGTGCTCTCTGGCCGCAGCCAAAGAGACCGCTGCTAAGGAGGCCACAGAGAAAGGTGAGGAGGGCTCCAGCCGACAGAGTCGCCTCTTCTTCCTGAGCAAGCTGCTAGCGGGACCTGCGGCACTGGCCGGTGCTGGTGTCTCCAGTCTGGGACAGTCTCTGTCCAGCTTCGGCAGTAGCTTGGGCGGGTACGGAGAGGAGGAGAAGGTTCAAGTACCTGTACAGGTACCAGTGGTTGTAGCCGCTCCTCCAACTACGCCCAACGTCATTTACGTGGCCAAGCAGCAGAAGCCTCACAAACCACACAAAGTACAACGTATCTGTCCCGTACCTCTCTTCACCCGCGGCTGTCCGGCCGGTCACGTTTGTGCCGTGTCTGCCGGAGGTCAGACCCACTGCGAGGCCCAGTACCCGGAGGGAGTGACCTGCCAAACGGGATATCAGTGCACCAGCGGGGTCTGCCGTCGTGGTACGTGCGCCAAAGATGATTGTGATGCTACTGGAGGGCTTGAGAGGTGTCCGGCCGGTCAGGAGTGTGTGGCCACCAAGGTGGGTTACCGCTGCCACGCCAAGTCAAAGAGAGATCTCTGTCCCATGCTGCTGGAGCAGATTGGATGTCCGGAGAACCAGTATTGCGGCTCAGGACCCGACGGCAACATCTGCAAGCCGAAACTGCAGGTTGGAGACACTTGCACTGTGAAGACCCAGTGTCTCTCCGACACTTGCCGTAACAGGAAGTGCAAGGCCGACGCCTGTCCGACGATTGACATGTCCATCGACTGCATGTCCACGCAGTACTGCTCTCCGGGGGAGCACGGCCACATTTGCGTGGCCAAGAAAGACAAGGGATCTCCCTGCTCGTCTCGCCTGCAGTGCAAGTCCAATGTTTGTGATGACCGCGGCGTCTGCATTGAGGACAAGTGCCCGCACGCCTACATGGAGGAGCGCTGTCTTCCGACCCAGTTCTGCAGCCCGGCTCCTTACGGCAACGTGTGCATGGACAAGAGGAAGAACAATGAGCAGTGTCACCAGAATGCCGAATGCAAGTCTGGTCTCTGCCGGAACGGAGTTTGCAAAGCCAACGAATGTCCTACTCCTTTCTCCAGCGAGGGATGCAACCAGCTCACGCAATTCTGCATGACTACTGCCAACGGCAACGAGTGTGTGACCAAGCTTGCCAACCAGCAACCCTGCATAACATCTGCCCAGTGCCTGTTGGGAAACTGCGTTAACGGACTCTGTTCCGCCGCCGGCGCTGGAACCCAACTGGCCAACGGCGCTGCCTGCAGCATGCCCACAGAATGCGCCTCGGGCAACTGCGTGCTCCAGCGTTGCGCCGCCACTCGTAACGGCATCAGCGGCGTCTGCATGGACAACGACGACTGCCAGTCCAACAACTGCGTGATGAACGTGTGTGCGGTGCCGGTGGTGACCCCCACCGTGGCTCCGGGCGTCACCACCACCGCGGCAACCACCTTGGCGCCAACCACTCTCACCCCTCAGGGAGGCATGTGCACAACGAACGAGATGTGCGCCTCGATGAGATGTATCAACATGCAGTGCGCCGCTCCTCTCCTTGAACTCGGCATCACATGCACCGCGAATTCCGACTGCCAGAGCAACAACTGTGCCGGTACTCCGATGGTCTGTACTCTGGGAACGGTGGCCACCCTGATGCCCTGTGTGTTCGACAGCCAGTGTGCGTCAGCAGCGTGTGGAACGGTCACACCCAACATCTGCGTGTAACAGATCGGAACTTCAAATCTTTACCTTGATTTCCCTCTGTCAATTGCTTGAGGAAGGCCACATCAATTTTTTCGTCGAACTTTGACGTCGTACTTATAGCTATACAGACGCTGCCATCGTTTCAGATCACTATTTTTGGAATTCTTGTCAGCTTTAATAAGGTCTAAATTGAGAGGTGAAGACCAATTTGTTGCGATTTTCTGACTGCAATTGCGCTATTGTTTGAGATGTCGAGGTCCAGGTTGTTGTCTTACATGCTGCCGTGTTGCCATTTCGTCTTGTCCTTCGTACAAATGTACTTGTCGTCAATGCTTCTCGGCACAGTTTATCGTTGCTTCTTGTTATATTGTCAACGTTTATGTTATGCATCGCTTGGGTAGAATGAAGCTGAACATTTTTTTTAGCCAGCTGAATTATTGGAAAGTTACATTGCTCTTGAAGTATCTAACGCTAACTGTCCCTGTTGCTCCAGTTCGTCCATGCTACACCAACTACGTTGTTGTCCCATTCATGTTTGCTTTTGTATTTGTGTCATTAGTTGTGTTGCTTAGCTTGTAATGCCTGCAATATGTGTTGTTAATACATTTACTAGCGAAACATTGTGTTATTCAGCGACCGCCTGAAACGGGAAGGGGATCGAATCCCATCTTCATCATTTTTTTTTTAATATCAGGAAACGTTAGCGCTAGCAACGGGGAACTTTGCATAACTGTTTTTCTATATAGCCTTTTCCTCATTCATGTAAGTGAAAGTTTAGACAAAAGAGCTATTTTTAAGATATGGACATCTTATTCAACCAGCCACACGGTATTTTTCGTCACAAAAATCTAAATGTTTCAAAAATCGCCAAACGGTTGAATAAGCATACCTTTCGTAAGCATACTTCCATGCTTGCTTTTGCATATCATTAACCCTCGCGGGCCAGGGGGGGGCGTTTTTCGCCCCCCCTGGCGAATATTTGCGATAACTCCCGAACGCTTAGGGATAGGAAGGCGAAACTTTCAGTACCTTTTCTCCCATCAATTTTACATCTTCTCAAGTAAAAAAATTTGAACCTAGCCCCCTTGATGACGTCACAAGGTCCATTTTGCTAGACCCCTGCACGGCAAAAATCGGCGTCACAGACGCAAACTTCAAATAGCTGCAAAAAATAGAGTTTTGGAGATAAAGACAAATTACGAGCACGGCTGTGTAGCGTTTGACCTAGAGAAAAATAGAAAAATAGTTTTGGTGACCTGAGGTCAGAGGTCAGGTCAACGACCCCGAAATGTGGTTTTAGTTTTTCGCAAATAACTTCGACAAAAATGGTCCTAGAGCTACGGCAGTGGTACCATCGCATTCGCCTTGTCAAGCCGCGTCGAATGATATATATTTTGTTCGGAAAAGGTCAAGTTTCATGTTGACCTCATGTGACCTCGAATGACCTCTGGTTGACCTTGACACATGAAAGGTCGTTTATGATGGATTTGTACCCGCTGATCACGAATCTGGCATTTATTTTCCTCTAAGCCTTCATTTACAGCTTCCGGATGGCAAAATTGTCTTATTTATTATTACTAACTTGAATCAGTGAAATAGCCTCTAGCAGGGATACTCTTCTGTGACCTTGACCTTTGAGCAGCCTTGTATCGTAAGATGAACCACAAATAGGGAACTGATAAGCCTCAAAACATTTCAAAACATCTTGGAAGTTAGCACGCAAGATGTGCGAAAAAGTGCCAAGTTTGAGGTCAATTTTGAGCGTGACCTTGACCTTGACCTTTGATTTGGAGCACATTTTTAGAATCCTCAGCTTCTCTTCTTTTGTTTGACACCCAATTTTGCCGGTTTGATGCAGCTTGCCGTCCTCTAGAAGGCTTACTTTGAGATCACTACACATGTGCCGGTTTTGGCCTTTGACCTTGACCTCTGACCTTGAAAATTGACCTGAGGTCAAAAATTTTAGATGCATTAGAATCGTCTCGTAAGGACCTTTCGTTTGGTATCGCTTTTGCTTCCGTAGCTCCCTTATTTACGGAGTTAGACAGGGGGGGGCGAAAAACGCCCCCCCCCGGGCTGCGGTGGTTGGGATTACCCCCGGGCCCGGCCGGGTTAATCGCGCTGCCTAGCTTGTCATCAGTTCAATATGTGTTGTTAATACATCTACCAGCAAAAATGTTTTTTATTGAATACAAAAGTACCTAGTGCTTGGATTTTGGAAGTTATGTATGTAGGTATGTATGTATGGTATGTCTATGTATGTATGTATGTATGTATGTATGTATCACCATTATGGACAATCCGCACGGGGCGTGGCGATTACAGTCCAAGTTAGGTGTGAGTTCCTAGGTTCCATACACTTACCGATATCCAATAGCATAAATTAACCCTCGCCGGCCGAGGGGGGGGGCGGGTGCCGCCCCCCCCCCATAAGGTTTTTTCGCGATAGCTCCGAACACGCTGGCGATAGAGAGCTGAAACTTGGCATACCTGACCTTTGATCCAAGCCGGATCTTTTGACACCAACCGCATTTTTGGGTCAGGTCAGGTCACTGACCTATGACGTCATAAGTGAACCTCTGCACGGTCTTCAGATGTCGCAACTTCGCAACGCCCTCACTGCCAGAGGAGATGTCACAGGGAAATGAAACTTGCAGGATCTAGTATCCATTATGAGTCCCACAACTTGTATATCTCGGATTTTTCCTAAAGGTCATATGAGGTCAGGTCATTTTCGTGACCTCACCATTATAAGTCAATGGGGAAAAATTCAAACTGCTATTCTGGCGCCGGGAACGATCTCCAACTATCTCAAGCACACGGAATCGTGATTTGATGCACTCCTTGCAAGGTTAGATGCGTCACTTTTGCAATGTTGACCTTGCGTGACGTCATTTATGACGTCATCAAGGTCAAATTAGTTTTTCGTCAATAACTCTTGATCAAATTGAGCTAGCGAGTCAAGAAAGGCACCAATGGACTCAGGAAGGCCTGCCGAATCGAATGATATGCGACATGACCTCTTTCGACCAACTTCGTGACCTGGGGGTGCTGACCTGACCTTGACCTGAGGTCAACACCCCAAGTTGACCTGACCCGGACAAAAAGTATATCATTCGACGCGCCTGAGCGAGACGAACACGATGCTGCCAAAATCGGCGCTCTGCGGCCGTTTTTTGAGAAGTTATTCACCAAAAACTTAACCGTACCCTGGGGCACTTGACATGACCTCAGAGGTCACCGGTTGACCTAGGACCTTAAAATCGGGTACCAATCTCTGCGTCTCGTAACGGCGCACACGCTCGTTTTTTCCGCGACGCGCTAACTCCACCAGGGGCGAAACGGCGAGGGGGGGGGGTCGTACCCGCCCCCCCCCCCCCCTCGGCCGGCGCGTATGTAGAAAACCAATAGGTCCGGCGAGGGTTAAGATATTTTTGCATTTTGCCCTACCACAAGGAAATTTCGGTAACATACTTATCATTAACTTAGTGATAAGGATGTTCTTTCGAATTACACCCAAAACGTAAACATGGTGTGTCAAAAGTGGAAATAGCCGCCCGGCTTTAGTTCGCCAGCCTTGTCAATAGATGGCAGTACCACAATATGGGCAGCGGATCGTGCAATTGACGTCAAATTTTCGTTATCTGCTAAGAATTGAATGGCGGATCTTTTCATGCAAGAATCAAGTAAATCGGTCCACAACTTTTCTAGCAACAGAGATATGAAGTCAAACACCCTGCCAGAGCGGCGGCGCGGCGGCCGGCGGCAGCCGTTACGCGCCGCCTGGGAGACTGGCGGCGTGAACGGTTCCGAATTGGCACTGCACTAAAACCTGTTAACTGCTTGGAATAGTTAGTATAGCAAAATTTTCATTCAAGGGAGGAATAACCAAGGTCAGGAAGTATGTATGCTTGTGTGCGTACTATGTAAGCCAAGAAACTGCATTAGCAGATACTCGCTAATATTAGATCCAGCCAAGTCCAAACGCATTCCAGGTGATGTGTTTCTGATGGGTCAACAATATTTATCGTTCGAGGGCGGATACAGTTTTAACAATACAAAAAATATTTTTGCACAGCTCTATTCCTTGAATAATTCTCTTCAACGCCTCATTCCTAGTTAAGCGAATTAGCCCACCCTGGTTGAATAAATAAGGCGATTTCGCCACAAAGTCGGGGTAAACCGACCGAAAACGGCCGCGCTCAACGTTAATTTGGGTATGCAGACTCTTAAAAACTCGCATTGGGCGGGTAGGGTTTCCCAGGTATTGCCTCCAAAACACCGTATTCGGCTCCCGAATACGTCCAAGTGACCCGCCTCGTTCCTAGTTAAGCTCTTATTAGATCAAGTGACTCATAGGGACCGAAAAAGCGACAAAAAGCATGAATTTCCCTATGGCGGCGGGCTGCCGGGTTGCCAGACGGTGCACCGGCTATTTCCACTTTTGACACACCATGACAAGTCAAGAAACCAGAAGCTCAGTCGCTGCATTAACACTAAATGAAACCTTTTTCGACGGCGGTTTTGGTCGCGTGTTTTGACACCAAAATGATGAAAACGTGAAACATTTTTCACGTGCATGCACGGTACTATCAAGAGTTTTACAAAGGTAGATTCCTTCCACTTCAAATGATGACTTGCGGAACATTTTGGATGTTGCTTTCTTGTTTGAAATACCTACCATAGTCGGGAGACTATCTTGTTCTTATTTCCCCTTTTTCGGCTGTTCAATCCTGACTGAAGACTGGAACAAAACTTTTAACACGTGCAAATCGCAGCCTACCTCCTTGCATTTGAGTACTATTTCGAGCTATATTTTTGGGCTTGGCTCCCAACTCTCAGCTAGAAGCGCTACGACGAGTGAGAAGCGATTGACAAGCTGTTAACAAGCCATTTACATGCGTTAAAGCGGTGATCCAGCCGCAGACCGCGCTCTGCCTGGTTAACCTGCGCCATAGTGGGGTCTGTTTATAATGCTACCTGGCGGTGGAAGGGTATGTTTGCCCCCCCCCCCCCCTTCT